TAAAAACATTGCTTAAGCGACACCTTAGCAACCATGTTATTTCTCATATTTAAGTGCCTTAGCTTTTCAAATACATATTGCAAACAATTAAGAACTACCAAACATTACCTTCAACTAGCAACACAAAGTCATGTTTTGTACAATTTCTAGTACTACAGGAAAATTATACTTTGTCCATGCTCATAATACATTAATGCATAAAAGATTAGGAGAATGGAACTCCACAGTGAATAGATGATTTCGACAAAAGACACTAACCATCCTGTGAAGGGCAGGCCTGGTGCAGTGGTAAGAGCTGTCTCACTGAGTCACCAGGTCGCAGGTTCGAAGCAGCCTCTCCGCAGATTTTGCGGGGGGAGGCTTGCCTCGGTTTTTCCCTTCCCCAGACCCCACTCATGTGGGAGCCTCCGGCACTGGGTCTGCCCCTTTTTTTTTACACTAACCATCCTGTGTCCTGAACATGCACTTGGACAGCCCTTTGCAAGAATTTGCTCCCATTGATTTGTTTTCAGATCCAATGTCCAAAAGTCCTACGAAAAATTAGTCAAGGAATAAGGAAAGGCACCACCTTTTATGATTGTTGCATCAAGATATGTAGTGTAGTTTGACATTGATCCCTCAATGCTAAGGAATTTTCTACTTCTCGAGTTATAAATGGGAGAAAGAGTTCAAAGATTAGTGTCTACAAGAGAAATTTGAATTAAAATAATGTAACATTCTCGAAAAAAATATAATCATGTATACAAATGAGTGCCATTACTCTACTCTATCTAGGTTCAAAATTGAAAATGCAAGTCAAATATATACATATTTTGCTCCTAACAAAGGTGTATACCTGATGCCAAGAACCAAAACGACAATGAGAAATTAAACTATCATACTTAGTTTTCTACCTTGTAATGGTGAAAACGTTCTTGGTTTGGTGAAGTAAATTCCCCACCTAAAATATCAACAAAGGAAAAGGTGTTAATAACATATACAGTACACTGAAACAGCATGTTACCCAGAGCGAAGTTCTATTACCAAACATGTATATATTATTCTTCCAGGCTACTGTCTGGTGAGCACTTCGTGGAGGTGGACTGTTAGGGCTAGATACCAATTTCCATTCATTTTTTCTCTACATCATAGCGATAAAGATCACCATAAACAAAGGTCTGCACAGATAGGATCACAATATTATTCATCAGCACAACTTAGTACTCCCTCTGTTCCAAATTATATATAGTTCACTTTAGTTTTGTCCAAAATCAAACTTCTATAATTTTGATCAAGCTTTTAGAAAAATATACTAACATCTATAAATTCAAATAAATGTTCTACCCAGACATTTCATGGAGAATTCAATGAAACTAATTTGATGTTCTAGATGTTGGTGCATTTTTTTTTATATACAACTTGGTCAACAAAACCATAGTGAACTATAATTTAGGACGGAGGGAGTATATGTCAAGAAAAATATGATAAAAATCAAAGGATAAAAGCTAAGAAACCCATTGCATTAGAATGAGAAGTGCTAAGTCTGCAAAATATAAATTATACATTGAAAGAAAATTTTCAAATTAAACTATGAAAGGATCATAATAAAACCACTGAGATGTATTAGACATCACTAAATCACAAAAGATGTGGTCCGCACCTTGCTACCATTGTAGAACTCTCCCCCATACAGGATCAATTCTGTCTCTTTCAGTGGATTAATGGTAAGCTGCAAAATGGAATGTAAGATTTTGAAACAAAATCTTCCAGATTTACTTGGCCAGCTAGAATTTTATATGAAATGTCTGAGTTAATTAATAATTAGATGGCGAAAAGATACATAGTACTGTAAACAATTACCCTGTAAAAAGCACTTAATCAAGCGAAGGTCACAAGCTCAACTAAGATTTGGCACAAACAAAAAGATAACCAGATTTCATCAATAGCTTCAATTTTAAAAATTTGCTATCTTGTCCTATAGAAATTGTCCTATAGAAACTCATCGGTTTGACTTTGTGATAAGTTCAGAGATGATAAATTCTAAGAACCAAACAAGACCAGTTGAATTACAGAAGTACCATAAGACAAGTAAAGTGCAGAAGTAAGCTAATTTAATTCATTGTCATTTGAAGCTTTGCGGTGCCTTACCGAGCAATTGGACCGAGGAGATGGTGCAGGAACATTCTCTTCCACATGAACCTCCTTCTTCGCCTCTTCCTTCTGTATGCTCCTCTGGAGTTAAGAGTCAGGAGTGCATCAAATGGGGAAAAATACAACGGTTGCAACTTGCAAGTTATCAGATGTAAAGCAGCAATGCCACTAAATGCACGAGCAGCGAGCACAGACAGAGCTGACCCCAAGCTAAAAGCAACGCGGAAGGGTTTGAAAAGCCGTAAATTCACGCAAGCATCGCGTGCGTAGCAGCGTAGGTGATTTCAGCCGCCGCCAGCCCATCGACACGCTGAGCACTGCAAAACGAGCAGCCGCGACTGCACCATGCGTGACCCAACTTGGAACACATATATGGAAAGAGGGGGGAAGGAGAGAACACCGACAAGGATGGCTTCGATGTCGTCCTCCTCGCCGACCTTGCGGACCTCCCGGCGGGCGCGCTTCTCCTCACCCTTGGCCGTCTTCCGCTCCGTCTTCTCCTTCCCCTTCCCAGGCTTCTTCTGCTTCTTCCCCATCCCCTCCCTGCAGAGGTGGAGCCAATAAAGGACATGAGCTCGGATGCTCAGTTTGCGCAGCAGGAAGGGAAGAGAAGGGGCAGGCATACCTCGTGGGTGCTCGTCGCCGGAAAGGCGCCGACGAAGACCTGGGCAACTGGGCGTAAGGGCGGCGGCGGCGCGAGGTGAACGGGGGAAGAAAAACGGCAAACAAATGTCGTTCTCCTTCTCCGCGCGCTACTGGGCCGGGTATTTTCTTTCTTCTTTTTTTTAAGCAAGGTTCACAGACATGACTACGCCGGTGCGTTAGGGAGAGCAGCCCATGAAACTGGTTTCCTTCTTTTTTTTGCCGTGGCAATCATCCGTTCTTCTTTTTTCTGTTTTTCTTTTGCTTTTAACTTTTTTTTAATCACATACTTCCTCCGTCCCTAAATAACTGTCGTTTCACTTCCCGAGAAAAAACTCTGACTAAATATATATAAAAAATATTCATATTTATGGTACAAAATTAATATCAAGAGATATATTGTTGAATCTATTTTCATAATAAATTTATTTTGAGATACAAATGTTGCATATATTTTCTATAAATCTAGTCAAACTAATGACATGGAAACAAAAATGATAATTATTTAGGGACAGAGGGAGTAGTATACTAGTGTAGATTAGATGCTTGAGCACAAGTGGATAGATTCTACCATAAAGGAACCTAAGGAACTGCCCTCAGTTTGGAATTATTTTCATTATTGTAACTCATGTCATTACTAATCATTTCTACATCTAGGCACATCCACTAGTGAAGTTTTTTTCCCCTTTTTGTGAGAATAAAATTTGTTATTGGTCTTTTTAAAAACTTTGTTTTCATTCTTTTTACAATCTTTTTGTTATCACATAAATATATGGGCAATTTTCTCCTAAATTCGTAATGTTTTTCTTATGATGTTGGAAAGTTTTTCTCATGTTCTTTTAACACTTTTTCTTGTGCTGTTGTAATAAATTTCTCCGAAATATAGAGTGCTTTAATTTTTTATATATATATTAGGCATCAAGATGGAACATTTCCTATGAAGCTATAAAATTTTTCTAACGTGTACAAGGGACCATTAAGTAATGGCCATCTTGGAAAGGGAGTAAACACACGTTGAATCTTTTGTTCACTACAAAGTTTTCCTCTCATGAAGTGGCAAACATGTTATGCGCTACTTTAGAAAAATTTCCATGTCCTAAAATATATCTATATTGTTGCATAGATGACTCGGTGGATGCTTCTAAATGAAACTGAAATACTGAATGGTCAATGCTCTGTGCTATCTACACCTCTATCCTTATGCATTCGATAAATACATGCTATCTGATAGAGAACCAACGTCTACATGTAAGTTTTGGTTGAAGGGTGGAAACGAGTTGGCTGTTTGGAGGACTGCTTGTAGCTGCGGAAAGGGAAGTTTGTGTCCTCGTTGAAAACGGTTGTGTGTTTGTTTGCTCATGACTAAAACTTTTGTTCGCAGACTGTGGCGGACAGGATGGCCGTTGCAGAACAAGTAAACGCTTAGTACTTTGCAGAGAAGCAGATAAAGGGCTACGGCTGTGGACGCGGATGTTGAAGCAGAGGCTGCAGCAGATACTAATGCGCCGGCAGCTGATGACGCTGGTGCGAATGCGGAAAACGCGAACCCGCATGATGGCTAGGCCGCCTTATTAGGGAGAAGCTATGTTGAGACAATTTTGTAATGGTCTTTGTAGGATTTTAAGACAATTTCTGCTGCGCAGGTTCTCGAGGTGGAGCCTGCGCAGATTTGTGATGTGCCTCTGAATCTCATGTGCTAGATGAGCGTCGAAGGCTACACGCGGCGAGATGGATTAAGAAATGCATGGATTGAGTGTTTGATTTGTTGTTGATAATGTGGGTTTCGGGATTGCCTGTACCTGAACACATTTTTCTGTCCATATTGTACCTCGTCAATGTCGTTCAATTTGCTCCTCAACTGAAATCCCTCAGCTCTCAGGCGGCACTTGGAAGAAGGCGTGAAATGATAGACCTTCCAAGAATCGTCATTTCGTCACTACCCTGAAGGCCGAAGTAGCCACGGTCGCGTGCGCGTGATGCCGGCCGGTGGCACACCATCAGCAAACATAACCCCACCCCACCCGGCAACCGCGCACCACCAACGCCCAGCGAGAGCAGACAGACACCCTCACTCCCGCGCTATATCTGCAAGCCCCTCGAACCTGCAGGCAACAACGAGCTCACACCGTGCGCATCTGCAGCAGCAGCAGCAGCCAGGTCCCGCCGCGAGACCAGACCACGCCCCGCGGAGCTGGAAGCACCAGCCAGGCCACATCATCGTCATTTCCATGGCCGGACAAGCGGCGTGGAGCGCGCACGACGCGCAGCCCGCGTGGGCTCTGCTGGCGCCGCTCGCGACGCTGGGGCTGCTGCTGTGCGCGCGCGCCGCGGCGCGCCTGGCGCTGTGGCTGTACGCGGCGTTCCTGCGCCCCGCGAGGCCGCTGCGCCGGCGCTACGGCACGTGGGCCGTCGTCACGGGCGCCACCGACGGCATCGGCCGCGCGCTCGCGTTCCGCCTGGCCGCGGCGGACCTCGGGCTCGTCCTCGTGGGCCGCAGCCCCGACAAGCTCGCCGCCGTCTCGGCCGAGGTCGGGGCCAGGCACCCCGGCGCGCAGGTCCGCACCTTCGTGCTCGACTTCGCCGGCGACGGCCTCGCCGCGAAGGTGGACACGCTCGGGGAGTTCCTCGCGGAGCTCGACGTCGGCGTGCTCGTGAACAACGCCGGCGCGTGCTACCCGTACGCGCGCTACTTCCACGAGGTGGACGAGGCGCTCGTGCGGAACCTGGTACGGCTCAACGTCGACGCCGTCACGCGGGTGACGCATGCCGTGCTCCCCGGCATGGTGCGACGCGGGCGGGGCGCGGTGGTGAACATCGGCTCCGGCGCCTCCGCCATTCTGCCGTCCGACCCGCTCTACACAGTCTACGCCGCCACCAAGGCGTGAGTGCCTCTACCGTTATGCCTATCAACTCTTCAATTTCTTCTGTAGTTGTTTGAAATTTTGAGTCGTATCTGTGCACCTTCACATAGTTAATTCTTCAGGAGAAATGTAGAGTTTTTTGCTCGGAAAGGAGAAATCTAGAGGTTGAACTTGCTTTCTGAACACAGATGAGGCAAAAATTTCACTTCGAACATGCAAGGATAATCACGAACAAGGTAATAGGAAAAAAGAGAAGAAAAAATAATGTTATAATTAATTACTAGAAATGCACAACGCAAGTCTACAAAATCTTATAGTTATCAATTCTCAGCCTGTTCGGTTGGCTGGTTCATATCGTTGCTGATTCGTTTATGTGAGAGAGAAGTAATACTGGCTGGATCAAGTAAACGGTGTCCATGTGAGGGGGCTGGCTAGCCAATCAGCCCCAACCGATCACGATGTCTAGTCACTCAAAGTGGTAAAACTATCAGTAAGTTTCAGCTCCAATGATATCGGTTTTGAAATAAACTACGGAAGTGACACAACACTACTTAAAAAAAAGTTTGCAGCGCCGCCACTTTTTTTTTTTTTTAGAGCGGCTCTATATTGAGCCGCCTTTACAAATGGAGTCCAACCGAGCCGTCTCTATAAATTCATTTGTAGAGGCTATTGGTGTTATGGCCCGATTTGTAAGGGCCTACAAATCGGATTTGTAGGGTTGAGTTGCCTGTACTAGACGCCGAATAGTAAAAATTAAGCGTTAAAATTTAAATTTTTTCATACGACTTCGGATGGAAAAATGATTAAAATAAAAGTTGTAGATCTCGAAAAGTTATGAAACTTTATTGTTTACAACTTTTTCATTTGAAATCATTGCTTCAAAATGCTGTTTGAAATTTAATTTTAGGAAATTGTCGAAGAAATCTAATTTCTCTTTTTAATTTTTGGCTAAAACATGTAACTGGTCTTTCTCCCATCGTACTAACTTTAAATTTGATGATTTTTTTTCTAATTTTTTCTAAAATCATGCTCTATCAATTTATTGTGTCCTTACAGCTATTATTTTGTCCATATTTTCATGTGACTGTGTTTTATCTATTTAAATTTTGAATTTCAGAAAATGACAACTTCAAACGTTATTTTGAAACTATAAATGATTTCAGCTGAAAAAGTTATAAACATAAAAGTTGTAGAACTCATTAAGATCTACAACTTTATTTTGATCATTTATTCATTCGACGTAGTGGTAGTAACAATGTTTGTAAATTTTATGTATTCCTCGAAAAGTTATAGAATTTTATAGTTGACAACTTTTTTATTTGAATTCATTTTATCAAGGAAAATTACGTTTGAATTTCTAAACATTTAAAATTTAAATTTTGTAAACGATATCGGATGAAAAACAACCAAAATAAAAGTTGTAGATCTCAAAAGTTATAAAACTTTGTAATTGACAACTTTTTTATTTGAAATCATCTTATCAAGTAAAACTACGTTTGAATTTCTAAAAAATTAAAATTTGAATTTTTTTTAAATGACCTCGAATGGACAAACAGCAGAAACGAAAGTTGTAGATCTCAAAAATTATGAAACTTTGTAGTTGATAATTTTTTGATTTAAAATCATCTTGTCAAGAAAAACTACGTTTGAATTTCTAAAATTTAAAAATTGAATTAATTAAATGACCTTGGATGGACAAACAGCAAAACGAAAGTTATAAATCTCAAAAAGTTACGAAACTTTGTAGTTGACAACTTTTTAATTTGAAATCATCTTGTCAAGTAAAACTACGTTTGAATTTCTCAAATTTAAAATTCAAATTTTATAAACAATCTCGGATAGAGAAACTACCAAAATAAAAGTTGTAGAGCTCGAAAAGTTATGAAACTTTGTAGTTGACAACTTTTTCATTTGATATCTTTTAGGGTCTCAAAAACAATCAATTTAAATTTAGTTTAGTATAATACATGGGGAACTAAAATCTAATATAGAAACAAGGGAGTGTGAGATGCAGTGGTAGAGGAAGGTATGCGCTAAGGGGAGTTCACGGGTTTGAATCCCCACAGCTGCAATGTGCGCGAAAAATGACATGACTTGCTATTTTTTCGCTATTTTTTGTGCCCAAAATCGTAATTTCTAGAAAATTATTCGTAAGAGCGGCTGGCAAAACCACCTCTACAAATGGTCTTCAACCGTCCCTATAAAAGCTTACTTTAATAGTGAAATAGATTCAGGAAACCAATATGACCTTTTAGTGATAGGACTATTTGCTGATACATGTTCAGTATTTTACATCAGTTATTACATCCTACGAGGCGTGGCGGCCCTCCCTTTTCGGCCTGTTCGATGGTTGGTTTCTAGGCTGATAAGACCGGCTGGTGCTGGTTTGTTGTGAGAGGAAAACACTATTGGCTGGCTGATAAGCCCTGGCTGAAACCAACAAGCAAACATGCTGTTTGTGGGGCTCGCCGATGAAGCATGCGCCGCAGTGGGTAGGCATAGCTCGCTGCTGGAGAAGGCAGGCACGACGACGGGGCAACATGTTCTTCTCTAACTCCGACGGACCTTCCATGGGCGTGCTTGATTTGAGCACCAGGCATTCTGTTTCTGCCGCAGGAGGTAGGTGCGGTGGGGTCATGATAGTCACAGAGGAGGAATTGTGGAGGGAACCGCGAGCATGGAGCCTGCAAGCACAGAGGCCAGGGACGGATACAGAGCCACAGAGGGGCGAGGGAGGAAGAAGAGAGAAGAAGACTAAGGTTATTTTGGTCCATTGAAAATTGTGTCGCCCTGCAGCTAGGCCCAAAGTCACGTAAGACATAGAAAGGCATATTTTATGGAGCAGCAAAATTATAATGGCATATCTCATAATAGATGAATTATAATGATATTTTTCAGAACCATAGAAGTTGTAATGACGCCGTGCTAATCAACCTTTTTTCGGGTTTAGAGCGGTGGCAGCGGAGTCGGAAGGTTCGAGGCCCTGCCTTTTTTTTTTTTTTGACTGGCTGGGCAACAGATGGTGGGAGAGGGATGGAGAAAAAGTGCGCTGTACAGTAGCAGGCGACGTGGCTTCGTAAGGACCGATTTTGGTATACACAAATAAGGTTTATATGGTAGCTACGTGTTTACTGATGTTTACATTCTACCTTTTTTTAAAAAAAAATAGCTGCAGCACTGCTCCTAACTATGAACAAAACGTTGCTCGTTTGTACCTTCATCGTCATTTAATGGGACTGTTGCCAAAATGCATGCCACTAAAAAGTACAATTTTGGGATGATCACATGGAAGCACTAAGTTTTTTTTATTCATGAGATTTCAAATTTGTTTAATTTTTAGTCAATTTTTTGATACAGTCTGGTCAACACAACGTAAACATTCAAAATTCATTCGTTGCAAGTTGCAACGAGGTACTTGGATATTTTAACTTTTGTAGTCGTGCATTGTCATTCTTCTATGGAAATTTGCTACACCTGGAAACACCGACCGCCCTACCACTGGCTATCCCTCTCTATAGGGACGAAGCCAGAAAAAATTTAGGAGAGGCTGAATAAAAGAATAGAGGCTTTTCTATCTTCTCTTAACCTTAACCCCTCCTACCTAATACATATATGCATAAAATTTTAAGAGAGGGCTTAGGGGGGCTCCACGTGCCTAGGATCGGTAGGGGGGCTAGAGCCCCCCAGCCCCACTGCTGCCTCCGTCGCTGCCTCTCTATGTTTTTGAGAAATTAAGCTAAAAGGTGTTCATTTAAGTTTGTTCCTGTAGCATTGTCTCTAAGAACATCTCCAATAGACTCTGTGTAACTTTTTATTTTATTTAAAAAGTCAAACTCATAGACTCAAAAATCTAAACTATTCTCCGTATCTTCCGCTCTCCAAAATTACCCACCTCGCTCTCACTTATGGATAGGCTACATCACCCTCTAAATTCAATACAAGATAGTTTCTCATAAATTTCTTTATACAAGAAAAATTATGTTAAATCATTGGAGCGTAGAGAACAAAACTTAGAGAGTTTGTTGGAGACACAAGAGCTATAGAGAGAATATTTATGTGATGGCTCTCCAAATACTTTATATATGTGTGTTGCTTCATGCACGAATATGAGGCGAAAAAACTTTCCATATTTTTAAACAGCTGTGATTTACTACCTAATTATTAACATTGAACAAATGTTTTGTAACTATTTGGCTTTGATTTACCAGCTATATCGACCAATTTTCAAGATGCCTCTATGTCGAGTACAGGAGCAAAGGCATTGACGTGCAATGCCAGGTATTAACTATTCTTTTTTATTGTGAAAAACATTTCTCCTAATTAATTGTATTTAGTAGTAGGGAAGCCTCCTATATAACAGTATAAGAATAAGAACATGATTTACTCATGCTGTCCTGAGTGAGACTCGTACCGGAGTGCGATGGGTCCGGGCGCATGTTTCAGCTGATGGTTCCAACTTCCAGCTGTTGTTGATATGCATGTTTAGCTGGAGATTAAACCCTTTATTTATTACAACTCATCAGAAACCTTTCAACCGCACCAAAGAAAGACAGTCGTCATACGTCACACAAGAAAACAATGGAACAACGGCGCAGGCACGTGTGAAACTATAGGACAAGCAAGGTTGCCATGAATTTTATTATTTTTCTTTCAAAAAGCAACAGATAAGAAATCACTTGGGTGTAAATTAACAGGGAAAGGAGACTTACAACAACAACAATATACAACAAATAAAAAATTAAGACACCCACATGAAAGAAGCAACATCGAGACAACACAACAAAATTTACCAATGTATCCACCAAAACACTGATAGCAACACACCGCCCACATGCCACAGCGGTAAGCTCAGGGGAGAGGGGTGTTCGGTGGTGATTGTATTCAAAAAGAAAAATGCTATCCACAAGTGTCGCCAACGAAAAACATAGAATCAAGCACAAGTTTTTCAACTGAATCCCCCCTACCCACCCACCCACACACACATAAGTGGAGGAGAGTGGCCTCATAGCAAAGCCTCCAACAAGGTACATGTAGCTAAATATGTCAGCATTGCCAACCTCAATAAGAAGTAGAGTCTTTGTCAAAGAACCACCGTACCATCTCACCTCAAAAACCCTGGCACCCCCGCCATGCCGAGAGCTACCATTGGCACACCAAACATGTCATTGCACAGCGAGACAAGACATCAAAGAAGTGGTTGTAACAAACTATTGCCAATAGGAGGAAGTTGCTACACGAACCAGGGCACAAACATGCATGACCTGACGCCACAACACCGAACCATTGGGTCTGCCACCCTCCCATGAAATGCCAAACATAGCGGACCACCAAACCTTGATGTCACACCAAGCCAATAACGTCGCCATTGCCACAACAGATGGCCATTCAAACAAGCCCGAGTTAATGCCATAAGCACTCATCATGGGCAACCAGCAATGTGTGTCCATATGCTAGTTGTCACCATCACAACCACAAACATGCATGTTTAGTTGTCGTCACTCCAGTGTGCATGGGTGAAAGCCAAACTAGTAGGCATTAGCCCACCACAGACACCGCCGAAGGAAATACTGTAGCACCACAAAAATGCTCGCACCCGCCGAATCATCTTCCATACTCATCGCCACTGCCATCGCTTAGCCCCACTAGGAAAAAAGGGTGCTACTGCCACAACGAACTGGACATTACCATGCGAGAGCGTCTATGGCTAGTTGTTGTTGTCATACCAACCACCTTCCAAACCTAATCATCGTCGCACCGATATCCAACGTCCGTAAGTATATCAGCCTTCGTCGACCACCACAACATGCCCAGCCTATCGCTCCATACTCACCTCCGCTATCAGCCTTCATTGTCATTGGTTTGCCATCTCCACAAGCACACTACCACGCAATGCCCCTACCATGACATCAATGGCTCTGGTAGCCACCGCCTGCCCTGCTAGCTAGAGGGTTACATGACTTCTGCAACACAAAGTCAATTCAAGTCTTTGAACTTTGTTGCCATGCACAAGTAACTATTGAGCATGTCTTGATATGATGTTCTATGATATGCATCTTACATACATATACAATGTGCAGGTACCAATGTTAGTGGCCACGAAGATGGCATCCATCAAGACTCCCTCCTTCTTCGTGCCATCCCCCGATACATATGCCCACACGGCTATTCGCTACATCGGGTATGAACCGCGGTGCACACCATACTGGACACATGCACTATTGTGGCTCCTCTTCTCCCTTGTGCCTGAACCCATCGCTAACAAGATGATCCTCAACGTAGCACTAGATGTTCGCACCAAGGGGTGGGCCAAAGATGCCAAGAGGAAGACACATTAGCAACAATGAGGGCCTCAAGATTACTCATACCATCTATATAGCATGTCCACTATAGTAGTATCGAGGACCTCAATATTGGTCACATAGTTAGCAAGTCCGGGAATTGATGCCTTTATTAAGCCTCTATAATGAGGGGTTTCTTCCATATACATTTACATTGTAGTGTGTTGGTGTTAGAATGTTATTCCATCTTGCGTCATAGAAGAAATAATCTAAGTATGGGCCATATGGTAATCTTTCGTCTTGTATTCAACTTGGTAGATCATCAAGTGTATCTGCATGACTATTGGCATGGGTAAACATGAACATTTCACAACACTTCTCTATTTTTCCAATCTATTCAAGCTTGTGTAAATGTAACACAATACTTTATCTCCCGACCTAGCCCATTTCTCAATAGCAGCCTAGATTTTTCCACTATATAAGCAGCTTTTTACCCATTTACCCTCTAGCAACAACTCTAGCGTGTAAAGTAATCCAAAGCCACCATCGCCACCGCTAAAATACCTCTTGCTTCGTTGCAAAGCTAAGGCAAAGGCATGCCCAACTAAAAGCTCATCTCCCCGCCCTAGCTAGTGGGTTTTGGTGATAAAATAACAAAACTGTTAAAAGGAAGTTCCCATGGTATTGGATCATGTGGCATTTCCAAAGTTTTGGATATGTCCTTGTGGATGATCAGGGGCGGATCCATAGGAGGGACTGGGGGCTGCAGCCCCCCTCATGAGCCTAACTTCTCCATTAAATCACTATTATACTTAGCCTCAAATCACCATTAATCTCTAGCTCTAGCCCTAAATCTTCATTATTTAGCACCCCTTTGTCCCCATCGTGGATCCGCCCCTGCGGATGATTGGAGGTGATGCTTCGATGGTGATAATTTGGGCCACTAAGTTTTGACATATTAGACTAGACAATCATCAAGGACATGGACTGAAGATGTAAAATATTATTAGGGGCTCTAAATTTACTCTAGTGTATCTTCCTTATGCAGAAACTTGAACGTAAGTGGAGATGTAATTTTTCTCTCGATTTAATAGAATCTCTTCCTTTTTTCTTAAAAAAGCTAAGTATGCATCTAGGCTAACATAAAATACTCCTACTATACTATAAATTAGTACTTCAAAGACAAGTAGAGGGTATTCTAAGAGGTTGATTTTAGGCTGTTCGGCTGATGGTTTCTGCTGCTGATAAGTCGGCTGATGCAGTTTTGTTGTGAGAGAAAAATATTGTACCATGACTGATAAGTTCAAGCAAGCAGGTCAAGAAAAGCTGTTTAGAAGCAAACTTAAGAAATTTGTTTGATCTATTTCTCATTTCAGGTGTTCATTTTTAATTGTTTGGGGTTCGATGAGGGCTCCATCTAAATGATATATAAACTAAAATTGAATTTCCAAATTGCAGTTAAAATTCTGAAAGGTGCTGTAACAGAACCGACCAATTATACGAAATTAAGTAAGAAAATCACCCGCCAGAGCAGACGATTTAGCAAACTTAAGCCCGTATAACCCGGTAGTCCGTGAAATCACGAAGGATTTCAAACCAACTCACATACCAGCCAAGATCGTAATAAGTTTAGCGGTCACCATCACATATTACATAAAAGTTCGCATCACAGGTACATCGGAGTTTAAACATAGTTATTACAAACCGAGTTCAAATAGAAGTAGCGGAAGCCATTTATTCAAAACCACACACACTCACACGGAGTTCAAGTACAGTGCCAGCTGATGATCATCTCCAATAAAAGCATTAGACGAGACGTAAGGAATGACCATGCCCATGGTCCTAAGCATCATCCATCGCAGGATAAAGACAGTTGATACAGTAGCCGTAATACATCTGCCTATCTGCAACAAGTGGAAACAAAACCCTGAGTACGAGAAGGTGCTCAGCTAGACTTACCCGACATAACCGAAAATAAAGTGACACCAAGGATTATGAAGGGCTTTATAGTAGGGTAGCTGACTCATTTGCAAAAAAAGGCATTTTTAACATTTCAAAAACATTTCCAAAAACATTATTATCAAGTTAATTATTATTAACCTGTCGACTACATTTGCACCTATACTAGAGCAAGCATGTGATTAAGCAAATAATGATAACCAATGATCATTAACAACTTCCATAATGTCATATCCATTATAACTGTCCAAGTGTTCCATCAACATTACTACGATGAAGTAACTCAAGTCAAGTGTTCACTATCCAGTGAACGATGACGTTTCGAATCGATTATTAACCATCTAGTAATTTATTCCTTACACAAACCTCACTCACCCGCTAAAGTGAGGTATCGGTCACCGAGTCAACTATCTAGGAAAAATCTCGAGTTTGCTAGGAACCACATGTACCCGGAGGCCGACCGACTGCCTTTCGATCTTATCGTCGCGCCCCCGTGTCCTACCACACCTGCTCCGGTACAGTGCGCTGCGGGCAATCCATTCGGCCCAAATAATCTCCCAGCTTCGTGGTCGAAAGATACGTTATTCGACCAACTAAATGTAAGGCATGCGTTCAACATGACCCGAGGCCCAACAACGGTCGGTCCTTAATCGACACAGACGAAAAGCACTACAGTCCAAAACCCTATAAGTTTTCGTCCGGTCTCAACTTCAAATTAACACTTAGTTATACCATGACTACATAGTTATCTGAGCAGATCCAGGTAAGCACCTATAGCTCGCAGGTGACAGGAAATCACCCGACTTCTACCGGTCTAAACCAGCTAAGCATTAACTCGACTGCGGATACCAAGGTAACAAGGATATAGTATAACAAAGGTAAACAAGGTATAATGCAGCAACGGTTACAAACAACTCCTGAACATAATGCATCAATTAAAGTAAAGCATTAATTAATAATCGCAAACCGGGGAGAAAAATGCTCCGGGGCTTGCCTCTCTCGAAGGAGCTCGGGCGGTGATCGGAGCACTCTAGAAGTTTCTTAACATCCTCCTCGTCTGCTTCGGTCACTTCTTGCGGTTGCACCTCGAGCTGCTCCTCGGGCTCCTCGGGTACGACGACCGGGCTCTCGGTTTGCGATCCTATATGATGCAGGTGCATAAGTGCTTATGCAAAAGATGCATCGGATGAAATGAACACAATGAATATGCTTGCATGAAAGGTAGATGAGCATGATTCGCTTTAATGGTGAGAGTATAATACAAATCTCATACAAGGTAGTCAACATCATCCAAGAACATGTACTACAAGCACATGTCATCTACTGCATTCTCTTCTACTACTAATATGCTAAGTCAACACATCTCATTGAATGCTTCAAAGATACACCAAAGCTTCACTAATTTCTTAATCATGCATAAAGCAACATTTGATTAAACCCTAATTAATAATAGGTTTGAATAGCAACATCTATTTTTATAGCATAAAAAAATCTTAAAAAATTACCATAGCACAGTACTACCCTAAGTAGTCTACCATTAAATTTTTATGGCATTTGGATAAGTGGAATAGCCTACACAAAAATGACAAGCTTGGACCTAAATATGAGCATGAAAATACTTTGTATTATGAAAAGTGTCAAACAACAGATTTAGTATTTTTCTAGGTTCTAAATAGTAAATAATAACTGTACAAAAATTATCACATGCATGTTTTATACAAATTTTGCTCTCTAGCAAAAATAACAAAAATCAGCCATTAAAGGTACTTGAACTACACCTCATAATTTTTCTATAGGACATGCATGGCATATATTTTTCCTAGAAAGTACATTACACAAGAAGAGTAACAAACTTGAAATCATATTTTTCTTATCTTTATATGATTTATTATGCCTTTCTCAAGAAAACAACAATTTCAATGATTAAATAAAACTCCACAGAAAAGTGTCACCAAACTGACATGCAATATTTTTAAACCCTAGATCTAGTCATGAGGATCACAACAAAATTTATTTCACCATTTTTGGAGCAAAAATGAGTACACAAACATTTTCCAAAGTATTTCTCTTCCCAAATAATAAAAGAAAAAACGAAAACATCTTTCCTATTACTACTGGGCCGGCCCACGAAAACGGCTGGCCCACGATCGCTTTTGGCCTGAGTAACCGAGTGGAGGGAAAGGAGCGACGACCCGGCTCGAGGCTCCGCCCCCCAGGCCGACCTGCCCAACAAAAAAAGGGAGGAGAGGAGAGACGCCACGCCACGCCGCTCCAGCGCCATGGCAGCATGCATTGCAAATGCCAATGGGTCGACGGCCGTTACACGCCACCACGACATCGGCAAGAAGGAGCGCACACTTGGTCCGCGAGAAGATGGCGAACACAAGAAGGTGACTCAAGGGGATAGAGAAGGAACGGGGAAGCCCTTTCCACGGCGAGGTCAAGTGCGGCGGCGCCATGACCGACGGCGGCGAAACCACTCAAGGTGGCTTTACCTTGCTCAAACGGTGACCCTACAGCGAGCACCGGGTGTCGGAGAGCGAGGCGAAGTGATGTGCGCGCGATTGTGGGCGACGGTGGACCACCGGCGGCCACTTTCACCGGCGGAGCTACGGTGGCGAGGGCGGCGCGAGCAGAGCTCGGTGCGGGGCGAGGGAGAGATGCAGCGCGGGAGAGGAAAAATGGGGAATGCTGGGAGAAGCGGAGCTCAGCTGGGGGCTTGAACGGGCGGGCGCGCGTGCTCACGGGGCGCCACCCGCCACACTCAAGCATCACGCATGCCGCCACGCCACGCCATGCATGTGCATGCCCGACGCTCGCTGCAGGGGAGAGAAGATAGCAGGCAGGGGGGGCCGGGCCGAGGCGAAGGCGCGCACGCAGGAGGAGCGCCAATGGCTTCCGGTGATGGGCAAGAAGTGAGGCGGCGGCCCGTTAAATGAGATAAGCATTTTGCAATTCCATTTTCAATGAATTTTCAAATATCAGTTTTCAAGTACCATTTTGAGCAAGAAAATGACTTCTTTTGAAAATGGCCCAAAAATAAAAGTTGCTTAGAATTTAATCCTCTGCAACTTGGCTTTAGGGACCAACTAAAAATT